GTAAAACAAAAATTATTCTGATAGCTACTGATTTGTCAGGACAGACAAAATAAAATGAAAGCTACTTAGAAATGAGACAGTGAAACATATCATACAACATTTTACAGGATGTTGGCAAAAAATGCATACAAAAGATTACAGGTAAAACAAAACAAACAAACAAAAAACCTCTTTGCCACCTGTAGAAGATCAAGCCAACAAGATGAATCAACAGTCAAGCAGGGGCTCAGTGGTTAAGAGCTCTGTCTGCTCTTCCAAAGGACCCAGGTTCAATTCCCAGCACCCACATGGCAGCTCACAACTGTCTGTACCCAAGATCCAAGGGATCTGACACCTTTACACTAATGCACATAAAATAAAAATTAAATAAATTATTTAAAAAAAAAAAGAGGCAGAGGCAAGCGGATCCTCTGAGTTTGAGGCCAGCCTGGTCTATATAGAGCGAGTTCCAGGACAACCAGAGCTACACAGAGAAACTCAGTCTCAAAAAAAGCTAAACAAATAAACAGGAAAAAATAGTCAAGCAGACAGCACTAAGTACCCTTATTGGGGTATGAAACACACATACACATAGATAAGGAAGACATATTGGTTAGTGGGGAGTGAGGAGTGGGAGTTGGGGTTGGTATTTCAAAGCAAATTGTATAGATGTATCAAGTTGTCAAAGAATAAATTAAAGATATTAATTAAAACAACAAAACCCTCCAACTACATTCAAGATCATTTCTCTTTCTCTGAGTTCATCTTCAATGGCATGAATTACCAAAGATGATTAATTCCAACCCTTTATAAACATCCTAGGCTTTATACCCCTGCCCCTTCATCCTGCTCCTTTACGGCAGACTTCTTCTTCTTCTTTTTTTTTTTTCTTACCTAAAAGGAACTTGAAATTGTCTTTTTGGTCACTAGTTTCTACCTCAATCAAAATAATTTCTAAACTTTCTCTAGAAAAATCTATGAGAATCTGAGCGAAGAAAGGACCAGAAAGCTATTTTGGCGACATGTTTCTAGATGTGGAGATACATACAGTACAGATACATAGTTCAGTTTCCTTAGCATTGTTTTAATGCAAAAAGTTGGCAAAACTTGTAAAAGAAGTGACATAAGAGTAGCTATGTTTGAGGAGACCGCTTGCCCTACCAGGCAGCCCAAGAGACTGATCAGCATGGTGTCCACACAGAAGCATAAATAGGGATAGGCTTCTAATTAGTCTAATTAAGGGTCCATATGAGTATATAATTAGAAATGTGATATATAATAGAAGTGGCATACACAATCAAGGGGTAAGGATGAACCATTCATTGTTAATTGGTTCTGAAATAGTTAGCCATCAAGTTAGAAAAAAAAAAAAAAAAAAAAAAAAAGGAAGTCAGACAGTTAAATCACATAGCTCATGAGTACAAATTCCAGATGGCTACACAGCTAATTTTTAGAAGAGGTATAAACAGCATGTTCTCTTTTTTTAAAGATTGGGTGGGATTTTTCTTTTTCTTTCTTTTATTTATTTATTTATTTATTAATTATTATTATTATTATTATTATTATTATTATTATTTTGAGGATTACCATGGCTCATTCTAGAAGTTGCTCCTGGTTTTGCCTTGTTTGCCAAGCTTTGTGCCAGGGATCGGGAGGAGAACCTTTTCCTAGGGGCTGCATCCCTTCCCTGCAGGCCCACGGCGTTGCTTCTAATCACTCCAATGATATTATTTGCTAGCAGCAACCAATTATAGCTAAGTTAACAGATGATCTGCAGTGAGACAAATACACTTGTTTCCTTCCAGATGGTTATGTTGAATGTGTCTGGCCCAAATTCCTACATGCACCCCTTCATGCCCTGTGGCCTTGGGAAAGCTTGTAAAAGGGTGAAGCTTTTACAAGGGTTTCAGTGATAGGAAAGGCATTAGAGAACTTTTCTCTCCCAGCCCAGTGAAGTGAGTCTCCAGAGAGGGCTGCTTCTGAAGGTCAGGGAGGGAGTCCGCATTAGAACCCATCCCAATTTGGGTTGCTAGCCTCCAGAACAGAAAAAATAAATCCCGGATTTTCAAACTTCCCAGTGAACACGTTTTTTCATGACAGCTCTAACTGACCCATACAATGGTACTGTGTTTTGCAGAACACTGAAGATTGGCTTGGTTTTTCTTATACTTGTGTTTTTGTCTGGGTACATATCTATAATCTGTATGTACTCTGTTAGACAGCTGATAATTGCAATGAATTCCAGATAAAACACTGCATGAGGACAGGCACCAAGGAGCAGCTTGTTTTAATATAAATTGTTTCATTTTTATAAGAATGGCTTCATTACTATATGTTTTTAAAATAGTTTCAAATTTAAATGCTTGACACAACTGCATTAGAAGGATCTTGACATGAGAACTTCAGTTCATGGGAATCACTTATAGGGAATGTTTTCACTCTCTTTCAGGCAGTGAGTTACATTTAATTTCTGTTTGATAGTTCTAATCCTCTGAAGTATATGCTCATTGCACATATGACCAAGGTAAGCACAGAAACACTAGTTTGCCCAAACTTTATTTGGCTATACAAGAACGGCAGCAACCCAGTTCTGGAGCCTTCTCTCTCACTCTCAAGCACACGCTGAAGATGGGGTATTAGGAATTTGGAAGGCTAGTGGAAACTTTGACAAAATAATCTGAATAAAATGAGGTATGGAGGTGATTGCTTTTTTATTGTGTCCAGCCACGTGAAACCTTCAAAATGCAACCATCTTAACCCCAAATGAAAGTCTCATTATCCACCCATCAGGTTTGTGATGAATGTGTCATTTTCATGAACTTTAGTCTTCTGTATTCGAAGCAGAAATAAATAAATGAGCAACATTTTCAACCTCTCAAGGCCATATCTGTATACCATGGAGCCAATCTGGAAGCTACTATTTAATCTTCTTAATCTGATGTGAAATCAGTGCCTTCGGCTAAACTATCAAACCTGACTTTCATTGTATCATATTATTAGAGAAATTTTCTTTAACCTATCTACCAAATTTCTTAGTGCCAGGATGGTTACAGATGAATACATCTTCTGGTCATTGTCAGAGTGAAAGCTTTTTACACATGAGACTACATCTGAACCACAAAATGAGAATTATATTTCTATCTACATTACTTTTTTTTGAGAGAGAGATATATTCCTATCCTAGGCTGGTCTTGAATTTGCTATGTAGCTAAGGATGACCTTGAGCTTCTGATCCTCCTGCCCCCATCTCAAGTGCTGGGATTACAGGCATTCACCACCACATGTATGTGATAGAAGGGACTGAGCCCAAGGCTCGTGAATGCTATTGCAAGCCTTCTTCAGTGACTACATCCCAGCCCACACAGCATCACATTTCCTTTCTGGAGAATTATAGCTTGGATCTATCATGATATTTGAAAGCCCTTCCTCGGCATTTATCATTGGTGTGCAAGGATTGACTTCACGATTAGATAAATCTGCATTATTGGATCAAAGGAGTTGAATATATATATCACAGAGTCTTAAAAGTGATCAGCTCTTCAGTCTTCAGATGTTTTCCAGTGGACAGGACAGAGCCTTGCCGGGGAGGGGGGCCGGTAAAGAACTGACGTTCCCAAGGTCATACGCTATTCAAAGCTGAGTCAAGAATAAAAATCCTGAGCTACGGCTCCTGATCCTTAGTCTTTCTCGCTATGCTGTAACATGGTTATTTTTTTCCTGTTATGTAATACACACTAATCTGATTTTCTTTTTCTTCTTTTCAACTGAAGCTCTGAATCAGCTAATCTTGATAATTACTAGGACAGGAAGCAAAAGACTGAAAATGGTTCTGTAATCAGAGAAGCTCCCTGCTATGAGAGATGTTCTATTAGAAGCTTGTCCCAAATGCTGGGACTCCACATCTGCTCTGCTGTTTACAGCCCTCTAAGTTCCTGTGATGCTCTTTCTTTTCCTGGGAGAGCTTAAATGGCCCGGCCAGCCTCCTGACCACTGCTTTTGCAGTACCCTCTGGTACACAGCTGTTTGGGGGCTCCCATTTACCTCTGTCTGAGCCACAGAATGGCCTGTCCCATGGTAGACACTTGTATCTTGGCCTTCACTTGCTACTTTCTTTTTTTTTTTTTTTTTTTTGGTGTTTGACCTCCTGACCTTGAGTTCAGGCTTTGCTATATTCTTGGTTCCTTACTTAACTCTAAAATGCTGAGATGACTGGAAAATAACCTGATGTTCATCCAGAGATGGTTGGGACAAGAAATAGCTGCAACGCCAGAGATGAGTTCTAATTCTAACTTGTCTCTTCTATACGAACCCTTCTTCAGCCCTAGAGAACTCCCTACTGTCCTCTTGACCTCTTTATGGAACAGGGATTTCCTGTTACAGAATATAGGTCTTTATTTTTGGATTTTCCTTTTCAGATTACAATGATTTTCAACTGTTTTCTTTTGGGCCCCAATACAGTCATCTTTAAAAAAAACATTGTTTTAATCTGTTGGTATAACTCATAAAATAAGAAGACGGAGCTTGCTATCTCAAAAGTCCTCCTCAGCTCTGCAGTTACACAACTGTAGGAAACTCTAGGGCATGTTTTCATGTATGAGGTTAGTGAGTTCACTGGACCATCCATGCAGCTCTGTATAATTGTGGCCTGTCCTCTGCAGGCTCTGTCACAGTAAGTGGAGCCTTTCTTATTAAAATAATGGCTTCCTCCTCCTGGGTCAAAATATTAAGTCACAGCAGCTGCCAGTATCATTTCATGCACACAGTGGTCAATCAATTGCCACAAAATCCTCTGAGAGATCTTTTACTAGGAAGCCATCAAAGAACCAGAATGGAAAAGAGGAGGCTTAAGTATGAAAGTGAGAGTATAAACTCTATTGTGGACATCATTGTATCCATTTTTAGATATAAAGATTGAATGGCAACGTTTTGTGTGAAGGATCTATGCTCTGATATTGCTTATTCTGACACACACAGAAGATGTTTTCCCAGCTCACGATCACAGTCTAAAATCTCTCCCTTACCTTTCTCTGTCTTTCACTGACTGCTCAGCCATTAATTTCTTCAGTTCTTCCAGGCGCAGTAAATCTCTCCCTTCCATTTCTTGCCACGTCTGTTGTTTCTTCGCCCAGTATTTTCTTATCTATATAAAGAAATGTTACATTAAATTTAAATTAACAGTAGAAAAAAAAATGGGGGAGGGGAAATAACATTACCAGGTTCTTCCTACAGTAAAGATGAGACTGAAATGGCAGTTCATCTTTTTGTTGTTGTTGTGTTTTAGAACTGCCTATAAAATATTGGCAACAGGAAAAAAAAAAACCATAAATGAAAACACAAAGGTACAAGTCTCTGGAAAGCTCCTGGTTTAGGTGTTTCTGAAGTACAGACGTAACCTGTGCCGAGACCTAGGTTTTAATCTATGGCGGATACACAGGGCACCACAGTAAAAGCCTGTTCCCACCTGTGAAGAATACGACCCACCTGTTACCCGGTAGTCTTTTTACCCTCTCATGGTAATGCACTCTTTAACAAATATAGCATTAAAACTATTTTTACCTTAAAAGCATGGGCTTATTTATGCTAATGGACAGCAGGATGTTGAGAGCTCTGTGCTCGGGGAAGTGGCAGGAGATGGGTGGGAGGAAGGGGGGAAAGAACGAATTAGCACGGTTGTGGTAAAGAGTAGTCTCGACCTATGTGGTAAAATAAAGGTCACGTTTATCAGGTTCGAAAAGGTGGAAAGCATTGTTCCTCCTGGGCCTGCTTTACTTCTCTCAATGGAAGCAAATAAGCGCTATTTCCAGGAGGCCGGAACTATTTCAGTTTCACGGGGCGCTTAGTCAGCTCAAGTTAATAGAAGCTTTTTCTACTACTCTAGGCGGCCATGTTGCTAGCATGGCCTACTGTCTTGCTATCAAAAGACAGAGTGGCATCCCAGTGGTGACAGGTGGCAGTCTATAGGGGCTAGCTAGCCTTACTTCCAGTGTGGCACTTCCTCTTCTGAGAATTTGGATAGGAAAAGCTGAGTGGCACGGCCAGAGTGATGATGCAGCCTTGGGGGAACAGCAGCTCCAGGCTTAACCTGGTGCAAACTCCACAGGACTCAAGTGGAGTTTAAAGAGAACAGAAAGAAACCAGGAAGATTCCAACAACAAAGATGGTGAGAGAGAGAGAGAGTAAGAGAGAGACAGAAATTGACTAAACCAAAGACTAAATCAATCTTAATGATCCAAGTGTGGTCACAGGGGTAGGAGAAAAAGTGCCATAGTTCTTATGATAAATGCCAGGAATCCCTAAGTGCCAGGCAGGAAAGATTAGATTATTTCTGCTGGGGTATAAGTCATCTTTATATATATTTTTTTGCATTATCTTATAGTGTTTTTTTGAGGAGGGCATTTATTTATTTATTTATTTTTCTATCTATCTATCTATCTATCTATCTATCTATCTATCTATCTATCTATCTATCTATCTATCTCCTGGACCACACCAGCCCAATGATACATGTTTAGCATTGGTTTGGAAGGAAGAGCAGAGCTGCTTCTGCAGACAGGCTTCTGATACCTTCTCATCTCTGCCGTCGCTTGGCATGTTGCTCTGTGCAGATCAAAGAATATGATACCCCTCCCCTTCCCTTCCTTCCTCCCTTCTTTCTTCCTTCCATGCCTCTCTTTTTTCTTCTCTTCCACCTGTCCTCTTTCTTCCCACCTCCCCTCTTCTTTCTTCCTCCTTCCCCTTCTCAGTGCAGTCATTTACAGTGTTCAAGCCTGAGCTGGGCCCTGGGAAACCTCAGTTCCACAACCTGAAAAGTTCCCCACTGCTTCAGACTTTAGAGCACCTCTTCATGCTGTAACTGAAATGCTTGGACAAAGACAGGCTCACTCTCTGAGGCAGCATTTTGGGGAGTACTTTGAACGGCTCACTGTTTTTAACTATGACTTTAAGAATACTACCATATCTTCCTTACATGTAATTCCTGCTATTTTCCATGTTCGTACTGTCTGAATATAGCACCCTTTGCCTGTTCTTGTCGGTGCTGTGTGTGGATTTCCAGGTCACCTCCAGATCCTACCAAGAATTCAGACACCTGAGTCACAAACTCCTCAAAGATACCTCTGCTCATGTAGGCAGCATCTAAATTTCCTTCCAAACTGTTATTCATTTAGTTTTCTTCCAAAGAATTGCCTCCTCCTTCAGGATTTGATTATCACTAGTGTTCTACTCCTGAAATCTTAAATTATATGGCAGTAGACTCTTTGACCAGAATTGGCCCCTCTCCACCTTCATCCTCTGGGCTGGCTCAGTTCACTGTTTAGTTTGACCCTCAACATAATGCTTTACTAATTATTTAGTATATACTCTCTCTTAAGTACTAGATTGTAAAACATGTGGTTTTCTAATCCTGGCACTTCTGAGCATCTTTTACAAAATAGCATGTACTTAACAACCATTTGATTAATGATACAATTGTATGAACAGGTACCAAATCCACGGCTTCGGTGAAACCTTCAGTGAAAATTCTATCTTTGAAATTAATTCCTGGTCAATAGCTCCTAATTTCTCAACGACACTCCAAGACATGTTCCCTATGTTCTGCTCTGTACCTACCTCTGCTTCCTCACTTTTCACAGGGGTCACAAAATCTCTAACCTCCCTTAATGTCCCACCAAGGGGAGGAAGGGCTGTCCTTCCTTCAATAGAGACCCAGAAAGACCCTTACCGAGGGACAGTTCTCCGTTCTTAAATCTCCCTACTCCACCATCTACCCTTCTCTTCATTCCAACCTCCATTCTCTTTGTGCTGCTGTCTTCTCTGCAAGGCAATTAAACGCATAGCTCTCCAGTTAAAAAATATTAAGGAAGACTTTTATTGAAACCACCAAGATGGTAGCAACATGCCATTCAAGGCTTTTTCATTAAAGCATCTGAGGCTATTTACTGCTTTCTACCTTTACAGCTCCTATATTAGTCCTCACTCACAGCATTCCTACCTCTGCCTTCTAAACAGGTGGGAGCATGGGTGCCAAGCAACAGGAAAATGCAGAGCAATTCCAGGCAAGTAGCAAATCCAAATATATCAGTAATGATCCAGGCAAACTTGTTGCCTTCACTGGTGACTTACAAGGAATCAAATCAAACAACCATTTCAATTCTCATATTTGGTAACAGAAATAATTGGTATTTCTGTATGTTTGATTCTATTAACCTTTATATATATTTTTAAAACATTATTGGCTTTGGCATTCATTTGTTCATTAAATATTTATTAAGGACATGCCTTCATTTGTTCATTAAATATTTACTAGGACATGCCTGAGGCCATGTAGTAGACTATTTACTTGGGATACGGTATTTATAGCAATTATCACAACATTGGGGATTAGTAGAGGAGAGACACAATGAAGAAACAAATGAATGAACCGGTCATTACGTATTCTGTTAATTCCTGAGAAAGAAATAAGTATGATGATGGTTCAGAATAGTTTGAGTGCTTTTTATTAGATGGCATTTTTAGAATGCCTTCAACAGCACATTTGGAGAAAAAGCTGAAAGATGAGAGTGAGAAAGGCATGGAGGAAACAGAGACCAGTGGAGGACGAGGAAGCTGTGGTTTCAGCAGCAATGGCCAGCAAAGACCTCACATGTGCTGGGAATCAGGGGGTCGCACAGCTGGAATGGGTGGGTGAGTTAATACAAGAAGCCAAACTAGAGCGTTGGGAGTCTAGATGAATAAGCCAGAACTCAGAAATGAAGAAGCCACTGAGGAATTTCAATCAAGCAGTGATAAGGTGTGACCCTACCTATTAAATGGAGAGTGGACAGCAGAGGCGCCAAGAGGTAAAGAGATCAGATGGAAATGTAAGGCGAAGACGGTCACTTGGACTAATGAGACCTGGGGTGCAGGATAGGGTAAAGCATGCCTGAGGGTGGAATAGAGTGTTTGCTGAGGAGTGTTGTATAGAGAGCAAGCATTGAATCCCGGCATTTTGCTTTGACAGCTATGAGATTCAAGCGCCAGTCACTGAGATGAGAGAGGGGGTTCATAACAGGTGGGGAAGGAGGACAAGCAGAGGTCACTGTGAGCATGTAGTTCCTAAAATGCCTAGAACACCTCTACGTGGAGACAACAGACATCTGGAGGTGTGAATTGCTCCAGGGAGAACTTGGTCCTGGAGGCTCAAATTAAGCATCTGTTTGCAGAAAAATATCTGATGTCCAAGGCTAGGAAGAAAAGGTGCCAACCTCATTTGCATCTTCATTTTCACAGTGTTTCCTGGGAGAATGGCTTACCTTCTCACCTCCACTGTGGAATCTTATTATATTGTCAAGATTGGAACAAACCCAGCTTCATCCCCTGGAGCAAGGACCCTTTGCTTATGATTTATTATGCTTCTCTTCTTTATTCTTTTACATGGCACTTCCCTGGAGAGTTCCTGGACTATGGGAGCATTTGCTAATGCCTGGGATTGTGCAGCCCTGCCTTTTTGACTGGGAAACTCCTTTTGGCCCTCCTTTAAGACTTAATCTTCAGCACTGCCTTCACAGCCCTTCTTTCTTTCTCCTCTTCTAGGTATGGCTAGGTGTAGCTGCTAAGGTATTATTTATGTTTTTCTTGGCATAGCATTTTCCATATAGATCTGCATTATTTAGCATTGTATTCCTAGCACCTTACATTGTGCCTGACATATTCCAGAGTTTAGGGGGCCGCTGTTAGATAAGTGGACACTTCTCCAGGTCTCTGGCACAAGAATAGTGGTTGTGGATGGGAACCAGGCCAGCAGTTTTATTTGTAGCATGGTGAAGCCTGAACTAAATACTTCCCCAAGGAGAGTTCCATTCGCTTCTCAAAAATTAATAGGAGCAGAAAGTGTGGATCGAGAATTATTGGCTCTGCAAGCGTCAAATTAAAACCCTGGCTAAGGATGTTTAACTAGCCCTTTGAGATACTTGTTGAGACACAGAATGTAAATGCACTGAGTTGTAGACTTCTTGCTCAGGCTCTAGAACATTCCAGTGATGGACACTCAGACAGATGATATAGGTGATAAATTAAATGTCAAGCTCTTACTTGGACATGATGTTTCAAACAAAATAAGACAAGCCCTCATTGTCCTGCTCTCCCGCGGGGACGCTGATTTGT